GGCATTCTGCTGAAAGCACTGCATGCAGCTTGCTGCAGACCCCTGCTGCAGCAGCAGCAGCTGCTGCTGCTGGAGCACCTGGCTGCACACCTACAGCAGAGGCCAACAGCCCGCAGCATGTGCCGCAGCAGCTGACTGCAGGCTTCTGCTGCAGCCAGCTGCTGCTGGAGCAACCAATACTGTAGCAGCAATTGCTGCAGCGGTCGCTGCAGCAGCAGCAGCAGCAGCAGCAGCAGCAGCAGGAGCCTGTTTAGAACATGACGGTGAAGAACATGGTGAGGAAAGTGTAGCTGATGTAGCACTGAAGGAAAAAGTAAAGAACCTCAAAAGCCAAGACAAAAGAAAAAAAAAAAGAAAAGAGACTGGAGCTCATCGTCGCCAGCACCATCTTCATTACTTCACCGAAAACACTAAAAGCAAGCAGAGGCCGCACAGCCTGAGATACACACAAACAACAAATAAAAATATATAATTTATTTATTTATTTATTTATTTTATTTACTTATTTACCCTGTAGTGCTACTGTTCTTATTAGGGTTTAGGGTTTAGGGTTTAGAGGAGTGATCTCCACAGAAAAACAAAACCCTAAACCCTAAACCCTAAACCCTAAAACCTAAACCCTAGTAGAGAAAACCCCGTCTCCTGTATATAAATTTCGGGTGTATATGCACCTGAAATGTTGTTCTCGCCATAAACATAAAATAGAAACGAAAAGATAATAAATACTGAACAGCAAAACTCATCATCTTTAGGGGGCGCAGAAACTCTATAGCCAGCGGCGACGGCAGCAACCCAGGCCTTGTTCTTGTTATAGGTGCAGCGAGAGACAACACAGCACCATCAGCTGCTGCTGCTGCTGCTGCAGCACCATGTGCTGCTGCAGCAGGCCCCGCTAGAGCAGCAGCGGGGGGCCCCCCGGGGGCCCCCTGGTGGGGGGAGGAGCTCCGCGCCGCACTGCTGAAGGCAGCTGCGGCTGCTCCTGTACGGCATGCATACAGGTTCAGCCCCAAAGGGCCCTGAACGCATGCACACAAAAATAAATAAAAAAAAAA